AAAACAAATTAATGGACGTATTCAACATCAAGAAAATTCAACGTTCTCATAAAACAAAAGCTTTTTTTTCTGTTAGAATAGAGAGATATTCGTCAGCAATATGAAATATGAATATCTTTTATGTTAATAAATAATAGAAAAAGAAGTCACAAGGCTATATGAGTGTATATAAATACTGTCAAACATCTTGCTGAACGTTAAAAGGCGTTCGCAAGATTAATTTAATATTAAAAAATGTCAAACAGGATATAACTACTCTGATTAATAGAAAGAATGTCAGAGAAACCAGTTGAACGCGTTACTACGTGTATTCTATAACGTTGTTAAATTTAATGAAGAGAATTATATTAGTCCTACTCTACTGCGTTTTTTTATTTACTTATTCCTTTCTAGTTTTTCTTTTAATAAAGTGCAAAAATAATCCGGTTGAATTTACTTTTTTGAAGCAATGTTCTCTAATGACGTATGATAGATTATTGCGTAGGTGTTTAACATGACTTAAAGGGTGGTAAATTTATAAATTCTCTTTATATTCCAACATTGGCTTGCTTTCTTGTCACACAATCAAAAGATTTACTGAACCATCAAAACACTTCTTTTTATATTGTCTATTATCAGAATTATTTCCTGTGAACTGATTGAAAATGATGAAAACAAAATTAACAAAAAACAGCATACTATGACATTGGATACAAAATGAACAGAATACCAATGAATTAATTTTGTGATTATATATAGAATAATCAAGTACATGTGTAACAATAGTAATAAATTCAGTCAAGTGAACTAATCTCGATTGATGACAATGACTTTTCTTTTAAATCACTTAAAAGTGATGCTATCATCATTTACAGACTCGAAAACCACAATGATAACACTAATCATTGTTATTTATGATTCTCTTGAAGATTATCTTTTACTATGAAGTATATATTCAACATGCTAGCATATAATTTATTTTTATATATTCAAAACATAGATATCAAGCTTCAAAATTTGCAACAAAAGCAATAATAGCAACCGTACTAACTAATATCGTCATATAATTATAATGTCTATCATCGATAACATGTTGACATTCTTCTTGTTCAATTTCTGAACGTGGTGATGAACAATGTTGTGGAACTGAACGTCGTTCACGTGATGATACTAAACGAACATCTGATTGTTGAGGTTGTTCTTGAGCAAGAAGAAAATATTCTGAGTCACATGATGAAAGTGTTGTTGGTGCTGATTCAGCTAAACCACGTCGTACAAGTTCTTTATTAATATTTAAATTATTTTGAGCTAAATTAAATATTTCACCAAAAACATAAGCTCCTGGTGAATGTATTGAACGATCAATAACATGTACACGAACAAGATCATTAGGTTTAATCAATGTTTCTAATGGTCTATTTAAAAAAAATTTCAAATAATTATAAAATTCGAGTATATCTGTTTTTTTCTTAATACAAACTTATAAGTAAGTGGTTCAAGAGGATGTTTACGCAAAAAAGCTGCTTTCCAAATATTAGTTGTATAGATACATGCTAATTTAATACGTGTTGTTCCATTATATCGCGTCCGTACTGTTAGTGTATCAATACTAACGTGTGTAATTTGTCCGACTAAAATAGATGATTAAATTTATAATGATAAAATAGATAAACTATAAATTTGTTTACCTAGATCAAATGGAAATTCGAGGGCACTTGATTTACTAATATTTTGATATTCTCGTGGTCGTTGAAGTACATTGAGCAGGCGAACAGAATTTGTTTTATTATTACCATTGCATTTAACAACGGTAAAAACGATAAACAAAAACCAGAGCCACATTCATTCAATGTTAATCTTTCAATCTATCATACCGATTAATTCTTAATATAATATATTGAAGAACCTTGAGCGTCATTCGAGAAATTCTCGTTATGCATCAAATGACTCTTGATGTCTAGACAATGGTTATTATTCAAGAGAGTTACTAGCAATGTTAACAATATATTGTATGTGGCATCACCAATAAAAAACAAAATAACTCTATAGAAATTGATCAAATGCGTTTTTTTCTACAAATTATTTATTCAATTTAAATCCAATTAGTTTTTTATTCTTAGTAAAACTTGATGATAGTGTCATCGAAAATTCAACAAGAGGTCGCCAATGATCATTGGGTTGCAATTCTCGATGATGGATTAGTTTAGAGTATATACAAGAAAAAGTATTGTTTCGTCATGTAAATTTATATTGAGTTTCAAACATTTAGGGTAGATGCAAGCTTTCTATCCTATAGTCATTGAAAATACAACTCGCACTATATCTATATATCAAACAAAATTATTAAAACTGTCGGTTCATAATTAATGATCTCATGTCACAATCAAACTGAGACCAGATAATGATTGTTACTTGTTTTTATTAGATTTGAAACGATATGATATAATTTCTTTTCAAAAAATATCTGCTTCAAAAAGACTAGTTTTTTTTTCAAACTTAATTACTGTACAAACTCTTAAAAAATCTTATTTGGCAGGGAAAACTAAATCTACGTACAAGAAAAAAAATGAGTTGCACTACTAGTAAAGTTATTGCTCTATATTCTTAATACATTAGTTTTTTAGTTTTTCGTCTTATATGGAAAAAACCAGCTCTTATATTCTTATTAGATATGCAAAAAAAAACAGACTGTACACATTTTACTTTTTAAGTAGTTTAGCTCAGTTTACCAGAGTACACCACATTATAATTATCTAAGACACTTCAGGTTAAAATTGTAAAAAATTATATTCGAGAAATATGCGATCGATCATGCTCAATATGAACAAATTTTCTTAAATTGTGACAATTGACATTATAATTCATCTTATTTTATGATGAGAGATATGCATGATATAAGTGTTCTGCAGTCTACATTCGTATTTAATACCACTGCAACTAAGCCTTTTTTCATATTAAACAATACTCGGAGGGCGGGGGGGGGGATAACTATTAAATGAGTACTTCTTTGATATCATTTCTCTCATTTGACATACGTATAGATTGAAGGCATATATTCCAATTCAATAGAACTTCTTATTTAATTGTCAAAAAGTGTTGATAATGCCCAACAGAATCTTGCATTCTCATATCAACATTGAACGAATGTGACGTTGAAATGATAGCAACTATTATTAATACTTTTGCTGGTTATTCTAAACTTCGGCATTCATTGCTCATTAATTTACTCTTGAATTCGATAAGAATGCTTTTAGAGTTCTTTATTTCTTCTTTTTTAATAATATTATCAATGATTATTGTATTTTACTCCTCAAAGATACTACCCGAGCAGATGATAAAAAACAGTTTGCAAATCAATGTCAGCATTTTTTACGCATATAATACAGTAATTCTTGCTCAGATTGATGAATTTATTACGTCATCAAACGCTTCAATTAAATATTATAATCAAGATTCTTTCTTATTCAAAAGAATGAATAATGAACTGCGTCAGCAAAATTTTTAAATTATATTAAGTATTCTTTTCTTTATGCTTGACATGTCTGCTCAATTACAAACGACTTATTCAGAATTTTTTCATGCGTATGATACTGATGAGTTTCAAAATATTGAAGCTCTTCATTCCAAAACATTGTCATATATAGGTCATTTAAAGATATGTTCTCTCCAAAAGAAACTTATTAAAACTGACATGCCTTCAAGCATAGTGTTATCAAGATAAATGCTTTTTTTAGCTATGTTTTCTCTCAGATGATTATTCTTTAATCATCAAAGCAGATTGTCATGCTGATCTCAGTCGGTTTGTTTCTAAATAAAGAAGATTCAATTTAGCTATTGCATATCAAGAACAAAATTTATAAATCACTGTTCTTTCCATTGATAAATACAGGATGTCTCGAAAGTCACTATGATTTAACAAATGTCTATAACTTTATTATTAATCTAGCTTTATCTAATACTTCTTTTTATTTGAAACATGAGACTAGTAGGTTTTTATTCATAAAGATAAAATTCATAAATACTCTTCAAAGATATTACCTTTAACTTCTATATACAAAAGTTTAGATGCTTCACAATTTCTGAAAAAACATCACGTAAAGTGTATCTGTTTTGCTATTTGGGTTTCTTTCGTNTGAAGTACACACAATTAAATGTACTATAAATACTGATAGGAAATTTTGGATATTCCTCTATTTTAAAATTAGCAGGGCAGGGCAGGGCAGGTTACAGGTTACATTAGAAAGTTTTAGGGCAGGGTCCGCAAAAATATTCACAGGGCAGGGCAGGATCAGGTTACAAAAAATTTACAGGGCAGGTTACAGGTTATAAAAATCCTGCACCCTGCAGCCCTCTACTCCTAACAAAGTTGTAAGTTGAAATTTGAAACTTGTTTTTTTCTGATGTTTCTGAGGGGAGAAACCACGATATTCATGTAAAACATACCGTAAAGGTGCAGTATTGCCGAAGCAATAAGCTGACGGCACGAACTGCTTTAATGATATTCATAGTTCATTAGAACCTAATGAAGTATATATTTCCAACTCAAAAAACGATTTGATATTTAAAAACAAAATTCCTTCGTCAGAAGCACGAGTTACATTTTTCATCTTTTGCTAATTTTATTTCATATGATTTCTATTAAAACTGACCGTTACATTCATTGGTTAAAATCTAGTACTACTCAAAATTATCGGAACAAAAAAAGCCTCTGATATTATTCTTCCATTTGTCTCTATTCGATTATCTCTTGTTGAGATATGAAATCTGATGAAGTTCGAAGAAAAAAAATCTATTGAAACGATTCTTTGACTAAATCTTTTCTCAGTTCAGAATGTACAATTTCTGTAGAAATATTGACAGTGAGTCTACTGATTATACTGGATTGGTATTCACGAAAGTATTGACACATCCATACAGTGTGAATATGTCAGATAAATGAGCAAATACAGTCCAATGTAGTCACTGTGTCAGTGTGAGTTTTCAGTGAGCAGTTTACTGAAATTACACATCTCTATTCTTAATTAAATAAATTTATTGTTATTTAAAATACATACATTAGGAACCCATGGTGGAGGTACTCGACGATTTTCAATATTATTCAATGTAAATGGCTCTCTAATAGAAAAAAAATCAAAATTAAAGAAACATTTGTTTCATAGAGTTTCTTTTTCTTTTAATCTTACCTAAAAAATGGTTGGTCTTTTAATAATCCTAATGGTGAATTTTTATTTCCTAATCGTCGTTTTGGATCACGTTCAAGTAAACCTGAAATAAGTGTTTTAGCGTCTTTTGGTAATGTTTCAGGATAACAAACATCTTTAAAAAGAACATTTTCTTCAATTTGTGATTCATCTTCATCATAAAATGGTGTTATAAATGTAAATAATTCATAAATCATTATACCCAATGACCACCAATCAACATTTTCATCATATTCATAATGTTTATAGATTTCATAAGCTATATATTCTTGTGTACCACAAAATGTCGTTGCTTTTGGATATTGATTAATATTTTGTTTACATAAACCAAAATCACCTAATTTAATATGACCATCTTCAAAAATAAAAACATTTTCAGGTTTTAAATCACGATACGCCTATATTCAAAAGAAAAACCATATTGGAATAAAGTATCAAAACAAAAACAATTCTTACAATAAATTTTACATGAAGAAATGAAAGTGCACAGGCTATCTCTCCAGAATGAAAAATAATACGTTCATATGGAAATGGTCGAGGTGTTTGTCGTAAAAGAATACGATAAAGATTACCACCTCTAGCTGCTTCCATTAAGAAAAATAATCTTTCAGCATTTTGAAATGTATAAATTAATTGAGTTATAAATGGATTTGATCGACTTTCAACCATTATTTGTCTTTCTAACATAACATAAGCTAAATCATGTCCTTCTAATACAAGATTTTTGCGAAGTACTTTCATTGCGTAATGATTTCGACCATATTGTACTAGATAAACCTATTTATCAAATAAAAGACAAAAATAGAGACTACTAAAGTCATGAATTAAATCAAAGTTAAACAAAGAAAGTCTCATTTATTTTTATGTGAATATATAAGGTTCTAATTTCAAGACAGAAGTTTATAAATATTGACTAAAGAATAAAAAAAAAAAAAGAATCATAAGCATCAAATGTCGAATTACGACATAATAATAGGCAGTAATGAGAGAATTAACAAAGAGACTGAAAAATCTATGCTACTAGTTAGAAATAATAATGATTATCGAATTGAGTACTGAGATTTTCTTTAAAAAAATACTGCAATATTTTAGAATGCTTTATTTTCAGATGAGTATTGAATCTTAGATTATGTCTAATTCTACAAGAGTTAAAAATGATTTCAGTGAAAAATAAATGAAACATACGTAATGCAAATTATAAATATATTTTTTGAAAGATAACAATTAGTTAACGAAGAAAATCAAAGTATTGGTAGCATGTTCTATCTAGTCATTTCCATTATGATCACGGTCGTGGCCAACGCTGGTGACTGTTGATCACAACTAATGCACAACATTTTTCTCTGCTGAAGATTGTTTGATTCTCATGTATTAAACATCATTTTAAAGAGAACACAATAGTGAACAAAAGATTCAACTCAAACTATTCTTCTTGTCATGTTATGAAAAATTACTGCGAAAAACTTTTTTTCGTTTCGATCACTGCTTTAACGGCAATAGAGATCTCTAGTACTATTCTAATTAATGAAAATGATGAGATATTATTTGAAAATATGTTTTGTTTTTTGAATAACTGTTTTTTTCGATAATATTTTAATACATTCAATTTAATTCCATCCTCGTTTTCTATTGAGTTTATCATATTGATTCTTAAGAACTCAAAAGCATAATAAAAGCAAGGTCATTTATGTAATTCTATCAGAGATTTCCATCGAATTTACTATCAAATATTAAACAGCAATTGACATCAATAGAAACTCCAAATACTTCAGAAGATAAGAGAAAATTAAGTGTGTACATAAAAGATATAAGATTCGTTTAAACACGTTTTTCGGCTGGTTTCATAGTTCTTTTTTCATAAAACAATTTATTTTCCGTAAATCTCTGGCTTCGTCTACCAGTACTGGGCTTAGACAGAGACCAATTATGACGGTGAAAATTCCGCACTAATGATTTCAAAAAGAAAAAAAAGTGTAGATAAATAATACTATTTCATATATGACGAAAATAACGGTCATAAAGGTCTACATTTCAATAGATAAAGCTAAAAAACTTTGTATCAACACTGTTTGTCGAAATCATAAAAAAACACCAAAAAACAGAGAAATTATTTCCCTATGAAGTATTCTCAAAGAAAATCATACGTAATATGTATCTTAAAAGCTTTCAAAAAAGACTTCAAGTTTTCTTTTATAATGCAACTCGTTCAAGAGAAATATTGATAATCTAATAACATAAAAAACATACTTCTCATTTCACATCTAGTTAAATAACAAAGAAAGCAGTAACAGAATTGACAAATTTTCTGTTGTAAAACCTATAGCCAACAAACAAACGAATTCTATGTTTTAAAAGAATTAAATAGATCAAAATATATAACATAATCATTTTTCTTCTTATCATTAATACAACACGAGAAACATTTTCATATCTAATAAATCGTTATGAATCTTCATAACTTCAAAAAAAATTTGTTTTTATTAAATAAAAAAGTCAAATTCAATAAATAAGACTCACAGCTCCATTCATTCCTTGTCCTAACGTACGTATCAATCGAAATTGATTTATATCGAATCCAGATGTTACATTCGGTCGATGACATTTTGATATACGTTCAATTTCTTTCTGAGCATCTTGTTGTCCATCAGTATTATCAAGACTTGCATAAATATTATATAAATCACCATTATACTGATAATTGTTATCCGATTCACCATCATGCTAAAAGTAAAAAGCAAATTCTAAATTCGATTGTTCAGTTTTTCTTTTAATCTTCAACTTACTGTTTCTTTCCATTTTTCATATAATGCTAAAACATTTCCTTCACATCCACAGTAATTACCCACTTTTGCTATACAACGACGATGTACAGTCATTGCACAATCTTAATTAAAAAGAAAAAAAAAGAACAGAGAATTTAGGCAAAGTCTTCTGTTTCTTTCTCATAGAACAAAACCATACGAGAACATTTATGCGCATGACCAGGTCGGACAAAACTTCCACAATGATCACAAAAAACAGGTTTTAAAGAAAATGGTTTTTGTTCAAAATGATGAGGAACATTAATATTAAGCTAAATAAAAAATAATTCAATAATATAAATATTAGAAAAGAATACAAAAAGTCTTACATCAGGATATTTTTTTCCTTTACATGGACACGCAAATCTACTATAACATCCTTTATGTACAACGCAATCACATCGTTGGCATTGAAAGCCTTGATAGGAAAATCCCCTGTAAAAATTAATCGAATAAATATCTTTCTTTTCTTCTTTAGTAAAAAAGAAATTAACTGACCAAAGAAAATCCGAACATACAGAACAAAATGTTGGTAATTTAAATACTTTTGGTAAAAATTCATGACCAAAATGTTTATAAATTTGTTGTCGTCGTTCAGCATAACGACTTCCATCTTGAATAATATTCGCTTGACGAAGTGTCTGTCCAGAGGAATCTAAAAATATAGTTAATTAAATTAAATTGAATTAAACTATTCAATGAATTGACCTTTATATTTTATAATCATTTCCGCTTGAGCTTGTGGTATAAAATAAAACTAAATTGAAAAAGATTTCAAAATTCATTAAAAACGAATAAGAATCTATATTCTATACTCGATGTCGATGTCCATCAGCTATTTTTTTTAATGCATCTAAATCTGACTCGAATGTATAAGTAACATTATTCCAATGAATTCGAATTATAATTTGTCGTTTTATTTTACGTAATAAACCAGCATCAAATGGAATACATTTCTCTTTTTCAATGTAGGTCGGAAATTTTACTTTCGTTGGCTCTTCAAAACAAACAAACAAACCAAAGTTATTATTTCTTATGAGTTTCATTTTTCATCTACTTTCAACATTGTTCGGTGTTGATCGATATTTTTCTTTGAGTTCAATTTGTGTTTGAACATTCGACAAATGTACACATTGATTATTATTATTTATTTGAAAATTCATTATTTGCATACGTAAAAATGGATGTGGTTGTTGAGACATATCTATCAATATAAACATATACTTTTGTTTAAATCAGAAGTAATTGCTATCCATCATACTTGGATTATATGACTGAGAATGTGCAAATTTTGTGCGTACAGTCGACGTCATTTCTGCATTAAATAATGATGCTTACTAAACAATTTTCATTTTTTCTATACATGTCATTTTTTTATTTGACAGTAAACATCATAATAATGATTGAGAAAAAAAAATGTCTTGATGGAATGTGAGAGTGCATATACAAGTTTCTTTTTCTTTTATTTTTTTGGATCAGAAGAAGGCAATAAAGAGAAGAAAAAAGAAAACGGTACAAAAATACACCAGTGAAAGAAAAAGAAAAAGAAAGTACAAGCCAAACTGAAAGAAAAAACACAGCAGTTTATGTTTGCAAGAGAAATGAATGATTAAGTGTGTTCGGAATCGAAGAAAAGAAAGTGTCTTCAGATATAAGAAAAGAACTTTTTTCTTTTTAAATACTATTATAGTCTTAATGAAGGATCAATAAATGAAAAACTACGAAATTTATTATTATCTATAGTAAGTGTGGTACATAATGCTTGTTTATCGATATATGATAGACCAATATCTTGTGTTGATAAACTCTCATTTAGTAGATTAGAAGGAATCTAAAAATAAATAAAAATGTATGACTCATTGACAATTACCATAGAAAAAAGAATTTACTGGACTTTTCCATGGACATGGTAATTTTTCTTGTTCAATATCTTCTAGTGAATATGGAGATGAATAAAAATTACTTGACTTGAGTTCATATATACCAAAACGTTCTATTGGATCTTTTTTTAATAAACCAATTAAAATTGTTTGAAGATCAAATGAAATATGATTTGGATATTGAAAATCTCTATGAATTACATTTTCTTTTATTTCAAATTCGTCTACGCCATTAAATGGAGTGTCGAATACAACCATTTCATAGATCATTATACCCAATGACCAATAGTCAATAGGAAAGCTATAATTCATATTTTGATAAATTTCTGGTGCTATATATTCAGTTGTACCACAAAATGTACGTGTTGTTTCTGTGCTATAAGTCAATTTTTTACAAAGACCGAAATCTGCCAATTTTATGCGACCATTTCGCATTAAAAGAATATTTTCAGGCTTTAAATCTCTATGAATCTTAAAGACAGTAAGAACGAAGAAGAATTCGTCTTTGTTAGTAAAAAAAACATATATATGTCAAAGCTTACTACTAATTTCGAATGAAGATAACTAAGAGCACAAATAATTTGACCTGAGAACCATTTAATACATACATTATCAAATATAGGTCGAAATCTTGATAAAAATTCGTAAAAAGTTCCACAAGGAGCATATTCAAGTAAAAAATAAACTCGTTCAAAATCATGAAAAACTGCATATAATTGAATAATAAATGGATTTTCACGAGATATTACTAAAATATCTCGTTCATTTTTAACATATTCATATACATTAGCTTGAAATATTCGATGTTTACGAAGTGCTTTCAATGCAAACTCACGTTCGGAATATTTTACTAGATAGACCTAAAATCATGTAAAACAAAATAAAAATACTCTTATCAATGAATTTTATTTTTACTTACAGATCCACTCGTTCCATGTCCAAGTATTGTAACAAATTTTAATTTATTAAGAAGAATTTTACTTTCATTATAATAAAGTGATGAACTATTTCTTATGTTAAACAAAAATTATAGACTATAATAAATAAAATTATATTTACCTTTGATTGAGATTTTCTGGTCGTTCATACTTTTTTGTAATTGCATGTAAATCGATTAGAGCATCATCACGTTTATGTTCATGTTGTAGTCTTTCATGAATACCCATTAATAAGTTTCGACTATTTTCTTCTATTTCTGGTGTAGTACATTCTTCAGGTAACATAAATATATCATTTAAAGTTGATTTATTCTGAAATACAAATGATAATTATAGTTAAAATAAAAATTTATATTTTTTACAAGTTCTTTCCATTGTTCATACATTTGAGCTGTTCTTTGTCTGTTACCACAAAATTGTGCTACCTTTGATTTACATTTTGAATGAGTAATCATTCCACATTCTTTAAAAAAGAATGTATATTTGAAAGAATACAAAGAAAAAAAGACTTATAAATTTTATATCTACTTGAACATTTCCAGGATTGAAATGGACGTATCAATTTACCATCATGATCACAAAAAGCAGGTAGAAAACTTGGTTCATGTAAAAAATTATGCAAAACTGTCGGCATTGCAACTGAGTTTGTGTTCTAGAAAAACAGAATCCAATAAGTTTTTTCTATGAAAAATTCTCATTAAACAAACAGAAGATTGTTCACAAATAGCTACATCATTAATACATTCTTCATGAACAACTAAATCACATAATTGACATCGATATCCTGGTGTATTAAAACCCCTTAAAAAATGAAAAAATAAAATCCAATATGAAGAAAACAAAAATTTTTACCAAAGAATTTTTCTGCAAATACTACAGAAACCAGGTAAAGTGGCAAAATATCTTAGAAGATACGAAAAAAAAGGAAAATCATATTTATTTATTTATTAGTCCAATAAATTACTTTGGTAAAAATTGATGACCATAGTGTTTACGTATTCTATTATGAATTGATCGTTGTGCTCTTCTGATATTACTTGGTACTATCAATAAAGTCAAAATACTTTTTTATCTATAATTTTTATTATATTTATTTTTACTTATTAATTCAATTGACATCGATGCATGACCTTCACCTGTGAATTGATACTAAGAAATGCACATGAAATAAGAAACAAACAAAAAAAGGATTAAATATTTAAAAATGAGTATTACTTCTCGAATAAATTGATCAGCATGTCGAATTAAATCTTCAATTTGAGTTTGATAAATATAATTCGTCTTGTTTTCATCAATATAAATGTTTATAGTTATTTGACGGCCTTGTTTAGTATGTGTCGTAAAATATAAAGCACCATCATTGTCATCATATGTTGGAAATTTTGGTTGACGCATTAAAACTGTTTTAAACAAAAAAAAAATGTAAAACATAAAATAAAGAATATTGAATTACATAGTGGTGGATCGGCTGTGTCAACTCTTATTTCAATATTTTCTAATGGTTGAAGTTGTTTTCCAACGAAAAAACGATCAAGACGCACACGAATAAATGGTTCATTTGCAATGCGATTAAATGATTCCATTAAAATATTAATTATTAGTAACAATAAAAAATATTTACAAATTATTTGATATGAACAATTGTTTAGTTACTGGTAAAAAGCCTAAAGACAAACATGACAAACAATATCATTAAAACGATCACATGGACAAGATAAATTACGTAAAAACACTCTTTTTTTTATCTGTCTCACTCCATTTTCTTTTTTGATAACCTGTAACTAACGTATATTACATGTCTATGTGAGTTTTAGTAGATATCAAGGTTGCTAAAAATCTGTAATAACATATTTTATCTATTGTCATGAGAATTAATTTTTGAAAAACTCACAAATATTTTCGAGAAAAATAATGAGTATAAGTTTTAGGTCGACGTTTTGCGGCACTCCGCACCAATGATAGACTTGAGCAACCAGACTTCAAGATATTTGAATACATTTTTATATCAATTACAGATATCAATCAATCATTTTAACACGGCTCTCGATTGTAGATACACAGGCAAAAATAAGAGATTTGCATAGCAAACAACATGTGTTGAAATTTTAAGATCAAAGAGAGCTGTAAGCAGATGAAAGAGTATGAAATTAAGGTACTAATATGTGCACTAGTAATAGTGAGACAATGTTTCATCTTATTGTAGTTAATATTTTAATATCTATTTGTAACTGTTTCATTTCATGAGAAATATCATTATAGTCATTTTATTGGTTCATCCATTTTGATTGTGTTATCTTATAGTTTTTCTTCTTTATTATATAATAAAAACAATAGTATTGCTATTTGATGAAAAGAAAAACGAATTGTTTATCATAAACTAATCAATGTTGTATTTGATTTTATAAATTAAAAAATTCACAAAAATTTAATCATACAGAAAATGATTTACAAAAAACATTTTATATTTTTTTGTCAGTAATATTGATCACTATTAATGAGTAAAGAAGTCTTTCATTGTGTAACCCTTTCATTGTTCCACTTCACTTGGTACAAACATTAACCCTTTGAGTCCGGGTGTCCTATATATAGGACGCAGTTTAAATATTTATAAATAGAGGGTACTATTATACAATAAATTTTTTTTTAATTTAAACTGCGTCCTATATATAGGACATCCGGGCTCAAAGGGTTAAAGTATATGCTATGACATAAAGAAACAATATATAGTAAGTTACCTGCTAGCTTATACGGAATATGTGAGTTTCACAGGCCAGTCCAAAGGGGCTACGTTAATAAGCTTTTATTAAAATATCTTCAGGACTCTGCTAATTTTAATATTTGAAAAGGGATAATACTAGCTTAAAGTATTCATTTATTTTGTATCTGATATTCGAAATCAAATATATGTTGCTGATGTTCGATTAGCACATCGCTGATTTTTATAAATTGAAACGAATAGAATCTCGTCAGTACTTGATGTGTTCATAAAATTAGAAGTAATATTTATAGTTTAAAATGTGACCAATTCGAGATAACATTCATGTGGTATCCTACATAAGCGAATAACAAAAGAGAAAAATTTTAGAATATATCTGTTATATTTTACTAGTAAGCCAAAATACTTGAATACATATCTATCAAAAAATAATGGAGAAGCAACGCTAATATAAGATCATTTTAGAAAATCAATATTATTTTTTCTTGCATCGGTTTATAATTTTCTTGTCATTTAATGTTTATCCTATTCTTTGAGTTCTCTTCATAAATAAAAGACGCATTAATACGAATAGAAATTGTACTCAAGAAATGAATGACACGCTACTGTGTCAAGAAGCGCCCGTGCCGCTCATCCCAGGCAGACACGCTAACGGTCAAAACGATGTTTAAACATGTTCATATGTAAACTGTTAAAGATGCTTCATTAGTCGCTAAAAACGTGTTACAACAGTTTAAGATTGATATTTTTTAACGCATTTTTTTTCGACTAATCAAACATTTCTAACGATTATCAGGTTTTTGATGAAAACACCTGGCAATAGTTAATAAACATTTCGTTTAAACAATGAGTTTGACAAATTTACGGCGTGTCCCACAAGTTCATACACAAAAATGTTTTTCTTGTCGAATAACTTCATTATTGATTGGTCTTTATCAACTGACTTTTCTCGTATGATAGATGACACGATCAAGTTTTTATTTCTGTAGACACACTAGTAAAATGCTCTTCAAAGTAATTATTTTCAGCCAAAATACAAAATTTCAACATTTTTTTTTGTTTCATTATAATATTGCGCACTGTTTGCTGTTAAATTACTTCTATTTCTAGATTAATTCTGATCTTGAAACTGTTCAAATTGGAAATAGCCGTTCTTAAGAAACTGGTTCTGATGTTTCCTCATAAAAAGAAACCGAATAATGTCAAGTCAAAAGTCAAACAGTAAAAAAGAAACGCTGCAAAATATTATTATGGAATCAGAAAAAAGGCTAAATTTTTGTAACTCGGTTAATGGTAATTACTTTAAAGAGATCTTTCATAAATTGTCCATAAAAATAAAACCTTAATGGTGTCACTTATTATACGAAAGGAAATCAGCTAATAAAGTTCAATTAATGGTGAAATTATGTGAAAAAAAAAACATTGTTGAGTAGGAGCTTTTGGAACACCCTGTAAACGCTTCGATCGACTCTTGAACAGCAATTGCTCCAAGAAGACTTGCAGCAGTTTTTAGAACAAGATTGCTTTCTTAGATTATGAAGCATTTTTTACTAATTCTCTTGAAGATATTCTTTTTTTTTTTTGATAAATGTCAATATGAATTTCTTCTATCTCAAATATTAGGTAGTTGAGTTCTCAAATGTCATTGACAATATGCGATCACATAACAGTAAGGCAATAAATATTCTGTAATCAGAAGATTTAGTGTCTATTCGTTGTATACTAAGAAACTCAAGTTTCATACTGAAAATACTGATGAACTAGATTTATGGATGAATATATCTTTAAAAATTAGGATCAACCTAAGGATTGGTTAGAGAGAGTGGGTAACGAGTAATCATCTAACAATTTTCAAACACTTAAAAAAAACTACCACCCGAATTGCAGTCATTGACAAATGTTCTATTTGATTTACAACACTAAATTTATCTGTAGTTTAATCAATTCATAGTATCGAAATTTTTAGAGAATGTATCGAAAAAAACAACAACATTCTATATGAAGCAGAAACTGTTCCAAGCTTCAAGCCTATTCCGGAGATGGCAGCGTCATCTTTGCAAGGGTGTGACTATATATTTTTCTCTCTTTATTGAAAAGCTTTTCTGCAGTTTATTCATCTATTGAAGATTTAAAACTATATTTATAGTTATAAGTGTACTCGTAGCAAGCTTTCTTGATTAAACGCTCTAACTGAAGAACAATTTTGGAACACTAATAAAGTAATTCTTAACACGTGATTCTGGTCTCTATATTATGTCTACCTTACGTAAATTGATTACTGCAGTTTGATCAATATCAGAACTTGTTCAAAAAAGCTACCCATGACGAACGATGTACTAACTGCCTTATTCTTTCTATCACTTCGAAAGATATTATTCAGAAAAGAAGTTTATCTGTGCTCAGTGTGTTTACTTTCATACATAAAATATACATATGCATTGCTTACACTGAATCGTACATGAATTTTTTAAAACTATGAACTAAAACTTAAGTCGATAGCCAATATAGGTAACTACGATTTAAATGAGACGGAACACTAATAAGCATTTGAAAAGACAAGAACGAGCAATCGAAGGAGAGAGAAAAAGATCATGTTTTTCTTCGTTAGCTGGACGCAAGAACAGAACAGAACAAAACAGAAATTGTTTCGAACGCAGACAAGTGACGAACTATGTTTCTATCTAGCGAAGAGAAAAGGAAATAAAATAATAAACGACTAATTGTTGAAACTCGATGAAACGATTAAATTTGAACTTACCTTTCTTTTTTACAATTATAAGCAATAAGAACATAGATTAACTTAATTCTTTTCGTTGATCACGCATGTTACTCATACATATGTTTGCACTATAAACAGAGGGAAAATAAAAGGATTTTTGATATCTTATTATTCAAGAAAAAAGGAATAATCTTATATAGTCAATATGATATCTTAGTATTTAGTATACAAGTGGTAGTTTCTGTTTACCGTATAAAGATTTGAGCGTCATTATTATCCATTTTCTCATTGATGCAGTACAGTGTACAATCAAACTAGAGTTAGCTTTCTTAAGCGTGCAGTACAATAAACTGATGTTGAACAATATCATATTATAACGTTTTTGGAAAAAATAAATATAATATCTGTTGCTAGTATTGTGATTATGAAAAGCTATTCAATATCAGATTTGTTGCAAGTCTATATTTATCCAGTATATCAGTTTGTGATAGAATGACGAAAACTAATAAACGAAAAGTTTAATTTTTGTCCTCATCATACATTAGTGAAGTATGATATTTGTTTTAACGATCAACTGTAGTAGTTACACATTGATGAGAAGATACAGTGAGAATTCGTCTAAAACCATGATAAAGACTCACTAGACAGAGTGCTCTTAATTGAATTGTTATACTTCGCATTACTTTAACTTTGATTATTAGCAGCAGAAAGTATTTTGTTTGGAATTCGTATACACTAGCAATAAGTAGTGTAGCTAATCTTTTTTGCATTGGTAACACATATGCATTGTAATGATTAGTTATCTATTGCTAATAAGCTGTAGATACCAACACTTACTGCTACCTGAAAAATGAACAAACCGATTATTCGCTAGTGATTGTTACGTGATTTAAATATATTCGATCACGTATAGGTACTGCAGATTTGTTATGCTAACCACTTACTACTCGCTAGCAACAGATGAGTAGTTTTAATTACTGTCAGTTATCAACTAGTACGTGAAAGAGGGTCTAATTACTGAGAACGTTACAATAATATAATTTTTGAAGTAATAATTATTTTTTGATAATCACAACTACGCGGAAAAAGATTGTTTAAACGTATTTTTTCCGAAAAAGCACGATAATAAGGCGTTTTCAACGATTCCTGTCAGAATTTTGGAAGATAAACTGCTAAATGGTATTGAGTAGAAAAATGTCGTTGATAAACACGTTTACATGCATTAAAACGCTCTAAACACTTGGAAAAGTGTTTAAATGCATTTGTAGCGAATAAAAATCTGCCTAGAATGTATTGCCATCTTATTGGCATATACTTGCACTATCATACCAACATATATAAACCCCGCAAAGTTTTGAATTTTAGAGCTTATGCACTATGGCATGTGTTGGTATGTAGGGGTATGTATTGACCAGTACATGTGCTGCTATGAACAATTCAGTACATGAAAGCAAGAACTTTAGATTTTTCAAAGATATATCTATTGTTACGGCAGTACATGTAAAAGCACTAGATGATGGCCGATGAGATCATATAGTAGGATATGTCAATACTAGTTGTACTCTTATTGGCGTATTTCTATCGTGAATAATAAGATCACTATGTGTTCATCCGCATATAGAGTATGTACCAAATTATTCAACAAGATTTATTTTCTATTTTTTCTCTCTGACGTAAGTGTTACAGAAAATCCAAATAGTGATTCAAGAAGAGAAATTTTCTTTTCAGCAATATTTTAAGGCAATAAAAATTATTATAATATTTTGAAAGATAAAGGCTCCAAAAACCAAAAGCTTTTTTTCTCAGCATCCTAGAATGGATAAGTGTGATTTGATTTATATTGCATAGAACGATAGAACAAACCATTCTCTACAAAATGAGACGTCTCCGAGTTTTCTGCGACGTTTTTAACTGACGAGGGAACCACCCGAGGTGTCAAAAAGCTTTTCAGTCGGGGATATGATGGTTAGATCGGACATAGCTAGGAGTGATATACCCTAAGTTAGTTCGGGCCCAAGTTGCTTCTAGCAGGAGTTATGAAATGTGAAATTTAGGTATAAAAATGAATCAGGGAAGGTTTTCTCCACTATTGTAAGGACAAAACATAGTGTTATTCGGGNAGGGGAAAGCCTTTGTCGGGGCGGGGCGTGGCGGGGAAGCGAAAAAAAAATTTAAGATCGGGGCGAGGCGGGGCTGGGAAGCGAAAAAAAATTTAAGGTCGGGGCGGGGCGAGGCGGGGAACAAAAAATTCTCCCCGTTTCGGCCTCTGGAATTTACATGAGCATAAAGCAAAACTACAAATCTACCAGCAAATATTGACAGGTGAAAAGAAAAGAAGGAAAATCTTCATATAAAAAGAAACTGAAGATGAATAAACACACATATTTACTTCACTTTCTTTTCAAAGTCAAATGAAAACTTCTAAACATCTATCTGGTGCTTATTATAATTTACCTCTAAAATTAGCTTGTTGTAATCGAACACGATCTTGAATATTTTCTGAATTATATAAACTATTTAATATATGTTTTTTTTTCAGAATAGCTTGAATTAAGTGTTTGATGAATTTTATTTTTCATTTGTTCAACAATTGTACCAATATTAATTATATGTTGACTAAAATCTGTTATTTGATGATCAGATTCAAGTTGTATTGATTTTCCAGCTAAATTCACCATGTCAGACATTGTTTCATTTATTTGTAACCAAAGCATTACTGTTGATGTTAATTTATAATGTGTTGAACGACCATTTTGTTTTTCTTCTACTACAACAACATGAATTGAATCCCGACAGCCTTTACTTGTACTACTTCCATCATAAAAATTTTTAATAAGTATAACACCAGCAAAACCATTTTCAAGATCCCAAAAATAAACTGAAGAAACACCACCTTCAAAAGACATTTTATGATATTGTTCAAACATTTGATTAGCTTCGATTTCAAGTTGACGAAGACGATCTGATGGAAGATTTCCTGAATAAAAATAAATAATTAATTAACTTTTTACATCCTTAAAAGAACATCTTCCTAAAGATTCATTAATTTTTCAGAGAAAAATAAAGAAAGAGCAGACATTTTTATTATCTGTATAATACAATCAATGGCATTAAATTATTCGATTCGATAATACGCATATTCTTGTTCTTAATTTCATTAGTTTGAAATTATCATTAATCCGAAAATATTGATAGTGACTAATTGAACGTTGAAATTTTTTAACATTCATCAAAATATCAATTTCGTAAAAAACAATCAAACTCTCCATACTAAAGTTCGACTCTAAAAAAAAACAAGATTTATTTTAAAAACATACCATTAGATGGTGGTGTATAATTATTTGTCCATGGTGATCGATATGAATCTCCATTACGATTATAATCACATAATAGATAATCTTTTTCAACAATTTGATCACGAATAACTTTAAGTGGTTGATTAACAATAGTAGTTAAAAATTCTTCAGTTAAATCGAGTACAAGATCATTAAGATTCGAAAGATTTTTTTCCCACTTGTTGTGGTCGAAGATGTCTTATTAAATCGAGTGAAGAATCGAATTGTGATTCGATTGATGTGTTTGTTGTTGTAGTGCTCGTCATCTGCAAAATAAATATATTTGTATATATGCCACTATCAAAAAACAAAAATCTCAAAAGAAAAATATTTTTGAATAAAAAAAAACATTTATTATGTATAGAAAATGAGTACTTTCATACAAAAAAGAGCATTCATTGGTTCACATTTGTTTTCTCTTTCTTACTGCCGAGCGTAAAACCCGATTTACCTAAAAATTAAAAAAAAATCAAACATAGATATAATTAATTATTCAATAAAAATTCTTGTTGTTCTTTTTTTTTTTTGTTCAACGCCTCAACCAAACATGCACAAATAATACTATTGAATGTCAGTCAGTCATAAGGCATCAGTCAAAAAGTAGTCATTCAAGAAGACATAGTTGGCTTGTTTGTTGATCTCACACGAGCAAAAGAAAATATTCTGTGCGATATTAATCATCAAATTGAATGTGGGTGTAGTTTTATTTTTTTTAATATTTTCGCAGGCATACACAGATGAACGACATCGACAAAATAAACATCGTACAAATTTGGTCCACTAAAGAGCAGAATGATGAGGAGACGTGCTTTTTTTAATTAATATAAATAACGTGTTTTTTAAATCAAATCTCAAATTTTGCTTTTTGTGTTTTTATAGATTATGTCTACCAGCACCAGCAAGAAAAATAACAAATATATTCTCTCATTCACTTACAGTATCGCTTATGCCTAGACGAGGTAATATATTACGTTCAGCAGCTTCTTTGTTTGCTGCTACAGGTAATGAGATTTTTTTAAATATGAACTTCATCAATTATATTTAAACAAAAATTGAGTTACTTTGTGGTTTATATAATTCTTTCATAAGAGCAGTGAATGCTTCAACTGTACATGTACGATCATGAAGATTAACAAATCATACTCGATTACCCACTAAATATAAATCAAAGAAAAAATAATTGTAAGGAATTTCAATGAAACTAATCAAAACATTTATCTTTAGCTGTCCACTGTTCTACATTAGTTTGAGTAAAATTTGATCGACGTTCATCTGATGCAATTTCATTACACAATACAAATATTGGTAAAATCTTTGCAAACAAAAGAATAATTCCTTTTTTTATTGTAAATTCAAAACTAATAAACTTGAATACAAACTTCTTTTTTATTTTTATCTGTTGTTTTAACTTCAATTATATCTTTAATAGCTTTACAATATTCAAAAAATTCATTTGAACGATTACCAAATACAAGAATAACAACCTAAAACTAAATATATAAATAAAAAAAAACCAAACAACAACTATTAAATAATTAATAAACCCACATCGACAAGAGTCATTAAATGGTGTATATTTGAAAATTCTTCACCAGGAGAATTTTTCTATAAAATATTTTGATAAAAGTTCAAAGAAAAAGAAAACAAACAAAATTTACTTACCACACCACCAATATCATGTACACGAAGTACAATATCTTTTTCATTTAAACTATTGTCATATTGTATGCAATATATATCTTCAATTGTTTCTCGATATGACTAAATAAAAAGCAAATAAGATAAAAAAACAAAACCAGTCCAAAAATAATAATCTCTAACTTTTCTTCTACACGTCCATAAGCCAATTGTTCAATTAATGATGTTTTACCAACAGCATTCTTACACCAAACTAATACTTTAAATAATTTACCCATAACAAATTCTTTTTTATTTGAATAATCTCATTTTAAATCTAAAATAAATCATGTAAGAAAAATCAAACAAAAAAAAAATAATATTGTGACCATTGTATTGTGTTTTTTTTATTACAAAATCTAAGTTAAGTAATAAACAATTTCGAATGTGTTTTTTCTGTCTTGGTTTTTTTAAATATTTATATGCACGAAAAGCCAAGAAAAAAAAAGAATCTAACAGAACGAAACAAAGCCTAGTTATAATGATTAATATCTTTTTCTCTTCACTATGTATATCGATGTTAAACAACGACAAAACAAAAAAAAAAAAGAGAACAAAAAATGAAACGATGCTCTACAAGAAACCGAAAAAAACATTTTTTTTATAAATTCGTTTCGGTCACTGTCGAAATGATACATGTATATGTCGTGCCGAAGTTACACTTCTTGCCGAAGTTACAACTTCGACGGACGATGTTGTCGAAGTTATAACTTCGACGATTATTCTTGCCGAAGTTATAACTTCGTCAATGTGTTTCGTCGAAGNCTTAAAGTGATTAAAAGTAGAGGTCGAAAATTTTTTAAAGGAACTGATGATTTCTGCAATATATAAGCCCCCAAAATCGACAACAATAAAAATTTTTAAAGATTGTCTGCCATCCAACAGAAAAATATTTTTCAAGATTATGGGTGTCCCTTCCCTCCCGAACTTTCAACTCGGAACACCCCTGAACAATAATTTTGATGCCCAATGATCTTACAGTTGGCTACAACAAGATTCAAGTTGCGTCTGTCATTTCAGCTAATTTTTTTTTCATTCTCTTTTTGAGCGCAACAAGCAATTCTAGAAATTTACGACTATCTATATGTGTGTGTACACTTCTTTTTTCCATTCCTACTAAGTGTATTCATGTTAATCTGATAAGTTCTTATGCACACATTTAGACAAAAGAATTGTATCTTACGATCGAATCATTCTATTGTAATCTTTGAAATATATCCTAGACATCGAGTGCATAATAATAGATAAATAATTTATGTAGACATACATGACTATCTCCTTCTAAAAAATAGCCATCTTCATTCTTGCGTTCTTTTGTTTCTTCGTATAAATAAATGTGTATATATGTTATCGAGTTCATTTCTACTTCTTTTCATTCCTATTTACACTTAAATAGATCACCACTTAGACAACACAAGAAACAATTATGACTTATGAACAATTGAATCGTCGATTGGCCATTTTGGCTGCTACATTTGCATTCTTAGGTGTTATACTTGGCGTTATTGCACTTTCTACTAATTACTGGACATTTATTATTCCTATTGAATTTTATAATGAAACAAATGTTACGAATATACAGTCAAATGCTTACGGTTGGAATGTATGTATTTTAAAGCATAATCTGAAATTAAAGATAGAAATGTTTCTTTCTTGCATATGTAGGGTCTTTTTCAAGCATGCAGGACTGATGCTTCATGTATTGCTCAATCTTCAACATCAACATTTATTGTTTGTTTTTTGGGTGTTTCATTCTTATTGACTGGTGGTATATTTTCGGTTCTTGATATTCCAAAAGCAAATGAGCATCGATTTATTACTCCTTTATTAATATTTATTGGCTGTATATTAATGACTGCTGGTTTAGTTTATTATGCTTCATTAAACTTTCTCAATTACCATTCTTCACGTACAATGATTGCCGCTATTGTATTTGCTTATACTGCTTTGCCTATATCAGCTTTTGTTACTGGACGAACTTCAGCATTGGGACGTACTGTTTTGATTAATAATGAACATCATGGTATACAAAAGTATTCAACTACCAATGGTAATGGTCTTTGAATATGAAGATGTTGCAAGATGAGATTTATTTGCAGCTTACTCATTCATTTCATGTTTATCCAACTTATTCTAGCTTTTGTGTACTTATGTTATGTGCTCTCTTGTTGAAATACTGTATATAAATATATATTGAAAGATAACATTGCTTAATGAAAGAGAATCAAAATATTTCGAGTACTACATCAATTATGGATTCTTTAATTGGAAACATGTCAGGAAAAATGATATTCTATCGGATATAAAAATGATTATAATTGTCTGTAAAGTTTTGTGTTGAAAATGAAATAGTAGAAGTTAATTAATAAATATCATATATGGGGCGAGAATGATACTTAAACACTGCTTGAATTAAAACAAATTTTGAAATGAAGTAATAAAAATGGGAAATAATAATTTCTTATTGACTCAAAATGCACGACTATTATAGATTTAAACTGCTTTATAATTTGAGCAATGCTTTCTTTTTTCATATTCAAGATATAACTTCTTAATAAAAATATTTGACGTTTGCCATTAGTTATATCAGTTTAAAATTTTCTATTCAGCTTCATTCAGAAAACTAAATAAATCAAATTAAATATTTAAGAAATAAATTGTGTACACATTGGAAAACAACATCTTTCTATAATATTAAGATTTACAAAAAAAATTTCTTAGTATTTATTATTACGAAAATTTTTCAAAAGATCTCTGGTGATGTAATCTACTTCCTGTAAAACATCATGTAAAAGAATGAACCGAAATCTTCTGTGAATCAATGCAATTGAACTATTCTTTTGTCTTTACCAATCCTTCTTCACATCTTAAGATATCTATCATAATTTTATGAGGTAAGAGTAAGAGATTAAGATGCCTGTCTTTTATCGTCTTTCTATTCTTATTTTAACATATGATAATTAAAATATTTCATAATATATGTGCGTTTATAGTACGTAGTAACTAACAAACTGAAAGACATATTGCTGAATCTTCTCGCTTAATATATAAGAAACTTCATCATGTTTCATATTGTTATTATCCAAGGATAAATCCAAAATATTCACTTATTCAATTGTTTGTTCTATGTAATATAAATTTCATATCTTTTTGATATATTTATATCCATTGATTCCATCCAATAATACTTGAAATCAAATCATTTGTATACAATATATCTCAAAAGAATTTACGTGTTGTGGCGATTTCTTCATCGATTTTTGTTTTAAGAGTTCTCCAAAACCGACGAAACCTATATTTAGTATTCCAACAGGTAATACTCAATGATAAAGGCTAGTTATTGTACCCCTATTCAAGGTTATTGAAACGGGCGTCTTGGAAGAGTCATCATTTGAGCATGTTTTTAAAAAAAGAAAGAAAATCGTCTAACAAAATCTATAGTAAAAATAATCATATCTGTTTTTACTTCTCCTCCAGAATTAGGTTGCCTTGTTGTTTCATCTAAAATATCATCAATAAACGTTAGTGTTGAAATAATCCAACTTTCTCTTTTCATTGGGATAAAGTGTTCTAGTATCGTTGAAATGTTATCTTCGTTTCCAAAAGAATGTTGACAAATAAATATGTTATTGTTGAATAGACCGAATACATGAATAGCCACTATATCAGCTGATATAATATCAATAAGTTTTGTAAAAACAAACCTTAGGCAATTTTCGATAAAGAAAACGAAAAGAGTAGTATGTGGAGTACTAGAAAGTGGAGTACAGAGGATGCAAAATGCACGTATGCAGAAGTATCGTACTGGTACGTAACCATCCATGATTTTACGTGAAGTTATTTAGTGAACTCTTCGAAATACTAAATGGCATGAATGAGTAAAATGATTGTCCAAGACTTCTCTATATCAATAGTACATTTCCACAATCAATGACTTATACGCTTATTTTCTACTTGATCAGGTGATTTGATAATTGATGGATAAACAATTAGTCTACTAAATTTGTTTTCATCACGAAAAAATAGTACAAACGATTCTGAATAAAGACCGGTGGCTATCACATAACTAAGTTAAACTTGAATGGTTGATTTTGACAGTCGATTATTTCAACTTTGACAAACCAAGAAAAAGTATTCTTTTTTGTTTATACTGCCTTTATGATCAATATAACTTGAATTTGATTATATGAAATAAGTAAACATCTCTTTGAACCTAATTGTCAACTATTTGTCAAGAGGCGAACATCTTAAATGAACAAAGATGTTATTAACATAATATTTTGACATTTTATGATAATTCTCTTCCTCTATTCTAACCTATGGAATAAAATCAAATTGTGACGTTTCATTGTTGAAAACAACTTCTTCCAACATTAAATTATGAATAAATGAGATATAAATTAGAGCAGAAAATGATTGAGACCAAACAAAACAGAAATATATGAGAGAAAAAGATGGACAGACAATATTGCCTAGATATTTCTTCTTATACTGATACCGAAAAGGATTAAAACTTATTCAGCTATTACTATTACTGTCTTGTTTTTCGATATCACTATTAGAAAAAACGTCTAGGCAATCTTGTCGATTCATCTTTTTATCTCTCATTTATTTCTGTCTGCTAATTTGTATCTCATTTATTCATAATTTTATGTCTGAAGAAGACTAGAATAGTTATTAATATAAGATGATCAAAAACTAAATATTATTAATTTTGTCTTCTCCGTCGAACAAATCAAAAAATTCTACTGTATCTCTTAGTTATTGGACATGTCAATCGGTATATACGAGATCTGCATACTAAACATTTCCTATGTCACATTATCGATCGAAAAGCGTCACATCAAAACTATTATTCAAGAGGACATTAGCGCACACACCAAGCCAGAATCACTTGTACTAACAATAGCAACTGATTTCGGATTTTGACATATCTAAATAGCTGTTCAATTATTTAAAATCAATGAAGAATTTATGGGTGGTGTATAAAATGAAAGACCTATAACTCTGTTCTAATTTCGTTTTTTAGAAGAGAGAGATAAGAAAAAACATCGAAGCAGTCAGACACAAACAGGCAAGTCATATATGATTAGTTGCAAGATATAATAACACGAGTCCTATTTCATATGTCCTACTGTGGGAGCAAACGTATAAAAAAAACATAAAGGTGAATCTTGACTAATAGTACATCAAAAGTAAGCCTATTAGTTTATTGTTCGTTGAATGAGTGACTCATAACGTATTTATACAAGGATTTGATTATCGAGCACTAATTGTAGCAATATTATTTTAAAAAATGCTCACAAAAAAGTCTGTTAAATGAATACTCATATTAGTGTATTCAATTTTCATCTGTTTTACATAGTTAGACTGAAATGAGATCAGTGTAAAAGATGTCTCTTTAGATTTTTCTTTATCAGCAAATTAAAATTATATTTGAAACTGTTTGTTAATTCTTCTATGCAAGTAATAGTTTTGAAAGGTATTAGTTTTCAGATGGGTCGAATAAGCAGGCAAGGTCTTGATCTACTGATAAAATAACACAAAAATCTATTTGAACTTGAGAGTCAAAAGATTTTACAGAAAAGAATGCCTATCTTTCTACGAGAAGAAGTTCAAAGACAAATATTTAATTTGGTGATAAATAAAGCCCATATATTCGAATGCACAATTGAAATAAACTTAATAATAATTCTATTTGAAAAATTGGTCCTTAAATAAATTTTGACTGGTAATATAGTATAACTACGTCATGATGATTATTGATGCGCGACATCAAATAATATATAATAAGCATTGTTTCGTTCCAATAGGTGTAAATAGCTTTCTTTTTTAGTTCGTTCTTTCTTTTTCTCTTTGATATAAATTCAGTGATTACATACAATAAGCAAACGAAAGGTTATTACAGAAAAAGTACACATCGATTTAAAATGCCTTTGTCGACAATCTTTCAAACAATTTGCCATTTTTATTTTAATTATCATTATAACAATTCATCTTCAAAACCAACTCCATCAGCATTTTTTCGACGAGTTCAGTTTGCTATTCGAATGACTATTTCATTTCTTGTTGGCGGATTTCTTGCCTATGGAACTCCATTGAATAATCAATTAACAACACAATACTTAATTCCTGTTATGTGCATTTTATCCATACAGGAGACATGTGGAATGACATTATTAGCTAGTTATCAAATATTAACAGCTGTCACACCTCTTTCAATTTTTCTCTTCGTGGTTCAAAAGATTGGTCTTGGATATAAAAATTATTTGGCAGCTGAACTTGTGCTACTTATTTCATCACTTTTCGTTGCCTACAAATGTTCACAAGTAAGTATTTTCTAACAAGTAAATCAAATTATATTGAAATTTTCAGATCAGAAGAAATCTATCTAATTTTTTTGTTAGGTTCAAACAAGAAAAATTGCTCTATTAATTAATGCGATATTTTTTTCTACCATTGTCAATCAAACTAATCTTCCATCAACATTTATTTTTATTTTACTTGAAGAATTTGTCATTGGAATATTTGTTGGTTTAATTGTTTCTATTGTTATCTTTCCACTTTTTGCGACCTTCGATGTTGAAAATCGTGTTAATTATTGTCTAACAAATCTACAACAAATGGAAACTATTGTAATACAAGCATTTTTATGCACAGATCAGATGAGTGCACAAGTATCACTTGCTCGAGCATCAACTATTGAACAAATGGTACGTACAACGATGAATCTAATGCATACCAGACTGAATGAAGCTCGTATGGAACCATCACGATGTTTACAACGAATTTTTAATCGAAGACGAAGACATCTTATTGATTTAACCTTACAAGGTTATTTAATCTTTTTTATTGCACATGCAAAATACAAAAAGTATTTGTTTTATAGAACAAGAATATTTGGTTAGTGCATTAATGTTTCATATATGTTCACTTCGAATAATGGTTACACAATGTCAATTCAATGAATATCATAGCCATTTTACAAGAGAACTTCAAATAAGTCTTCTTCATCTTAGTTCATGTCAATCAACAGTTGTCTCAAGTTTGATGTTATCTCCAAT